CGGTATTAATAAAAAGTCATGCTTCCAAGGAAAAGGTAGTTGTTTCAGAAACATGTAATATGTGAGCAGTGTACCTCTTTATCCATCCAAAGCATGTGAAATGAGTATACAGAGTTGTCACCGTCAGAAGCGCAGTAGTTCCATATATGGAGAAGGCGGGAGACAATCTTGTTCTTGTTGATGCCAATGCGCAACTGACGAAATGAGACTGACTGAGCAATTGGATCTGTTTAAAGCAGTGTTGGTTTACCATGAGCAACAGGTAAAGAATTCAGCAAATGGCAACTGTTGGTCTTGAAAGCTAATGTGATGAGGTTGTTTGCATTAGAAATAGGAATCAAAAGGGTCTTAGGCATTTGGAATGGTTTAACAGGAATGGAAACCATTTACGACGATAAGTAAAATACCTCTGGGATTTTTTGGCAAATTATACTCTGGCAACATTCTTTGGGAATGGTAGAACCGCGTTTCTTTACTGGAAAAGCAGGCAAAGTGAGGCAGTAGAAGGCAAAATAATGGATTTGCGTAGTAAAAACTGGAATACCTGGTGTTTTTAATCGTTGTTTGACTTCCGATGAGGAAGATGAGGTGGACCGGCAGCGCCACGACAAGAAGCTTCCTTTTTTAGGGTTTGCTGCGGCGGGTAAAGTTAGTCGTATAAGGAGAAAGACCAGGTACTGATCGCGACAGTGGAATACAAGAGTTGGTGGAAAAACAGTATGGATTTATATGCTGTTATGGGCTTTAAAATTAGGCCCATTTGCATTTAGTTTCTCTATTACGGGCATCCATTTGTTTAGGTTAAGAAGCCCAGAAATGAAGCGGGGTAAGGCTTGTCCTTTACAACAAACACAATTTTGTTGAGAGTTCCAACTAAATGGATCAACAGAGTCATGTCAGCCGTGATTTAATTAAATCCTCAAGAACATGAAGAACATCAAAGCTGTACCCAGAATTTAAGTCGTTGCTATATCTCGTTTTTTGTTTCACTTTTTACAACGAAGCTTGAACAGACATTGGAGGAAGGCGCTTTCTTTTTTGGTTCAAACATGTTATTTCAGAGTTGGACTATCCGAAATGCGAATTAATGAAAAGTTAATATAATATTGTAATTCTGTTGTTCTTATGATTAACTGGAAATCATGTCTACTGAATTGTAACACTATCTGGTTAACTAAATTGCACCACTATCGAGATCTGGTCAACCTCTGTTGAGACATGAATTGGCGCAACAGGTTTCAGTGGTACACCTTGATTGTGCAAACAAAATAAAACTACAGCAAAGCACTTCATTTAGGTTCAGCCCTTCAAAGGTAAACTGGTCAATATGAAACGGTGTTTACTAATATCGAGAACTATATAGGAACAGACCAGCATCATAATGTTTTGATTGTAACAACATAGCAACCATCTTGTGGAAATTGACACTAATTAATATTCAAACATAGAGGGTTCCAAATCGTTGTGACAGCTATATGTTTGGTAACACGAAATGCCTCAACGATACGCAACTCTAGGGTGAAGCATTTCCCTTCAACTCCTCGAAGAATTGCTTCTTTCTCAGGGAATTCCAGTGCATGAAAATCCTCGACTGGCAACCTGAGCAGCTGAACCATTGCATCATGTTCAAATTTGATCATCTCTGTTCTAATCATATCGTCACAACATACAAATGCATCGTACCTGTTTCATAATGACCAAGTCTTCTCAGTATTTAGTGAACCATAAAGTGAGTGTGCATATTTGAAAATATCTTACCATATAGAACCAGCTTCGTATTTAATTAGCTGTCGGTCTGCAGGAACACCATTAATCTTCGCCAAGCACCAGTAGCGTCTCTATACAAAAGTATTTCAGGTGAGGCAGATATTTGAGGGAGGAGGTAAGATTCGTAATACTATACATACCTCTAAATCAACTGATTGAGCAGCAAGTAGTTGTATCATCGCACCAAATGTAGTTGTATTCGGCAGAGGTTTCCTCAAGGACTTGAAAATCGGTACCGGTGAATCTTGAAGAATGGTAATTGGTCTGTGGTGATGAAAAAACCTACCAATGCAGAGAAGAACATAAATTTGCGCAGTTAATTTACAAAATATAGACAAAGCATGTAATTGAGGCATGTGTAACCTGTTCATTATGGTCCTGAAACGATATGAGTATGAGCCATGAATGATGCGTGTTCCTTTTGTGCTGGTTAATAGCAACTGATCTGCATAGAAAGGTTTCAGTTTAATATAGAGGCGTAGAGAATTCAAACTAACGAATGAGGAGAGTAAATGTCGGACGGTTTGGTTCAGGCTCAGCAACCAAGATGCTCGTAAAGGTCACAACCACAGGATATGTTAGTTCAGCCACTTCAGCCCAATAGTAGAAATCATCGGTCCTAGCAGTGTAGTTGATGATGGCAGTTTCGTTTCTGTCATTATATACTAAATGTCAGTGTACATTCAGTATGTGACATGCAAGAAGAATTATGAATGTCACCTGGTGTTCTCTATCTGAACCATCATGAAGACAGTCCCATCATTATTGTAGATTGGTTTTGATATCGATAAAACACGGCCTGTGAGATCTGAACATGCGGAAGGAAAGCAATATCAGTTAAATAGTTGGAGAATGAAGATAAATAAGGGACAGCTGACCTGCGAGGTGTGTGGGATCCAATGTCATGCCATAAAGTTCTTCAAATTCTGTGTTTCTAAATCCCTCAACTGGAAATTGTTTTCTGGATTGTAGCTCATCAATTTTTCTGTAAATCTGGCCTGTTCGCAGATATATGCGCCAATTTCCAGGTGCATTTCTTTGGGTGCGTCTTGCTGCTGTTATTGGTACTCGTTGTAGCACATAAAGTGTTCCCACATTAAAAAGAGGCATGATATTAGGTATATCGATTTTGTCGGTGACTCCTTCCACAAGACTTTCCTGGAATAATAAAAGCAGGAACGAACTGTAAACATGCACTATGAGCAAATGAAAATCAATATGCCTATTCAAGACACAAACCTCTTTGTCAAGCCATAAAGTATACATAAACTGGCTATTTTCTGTTCCAACATAATCATCAGAAAGCCATATATGAATCAATCGAAGGACGATATGGCCAGCCAAACAATCGCCATGAAGATCGGAAACCGTGGCTGAAGTACTAATTGGGTCTGGAATTTCGAGCATGAAAGAATATATTAGGCTTCGATTAATATAAACAACCAGAATTGCATGTATGTAACAAAACATGAGATAATGGTATGTTTCAGTTTTTCTTTGCACGAATAACAGTCATAGGCATTATTATCAGTCAAGTGTACGCATGCGAACCATTGGGGCAATTTGGCAGGGCATAGTTGAGCGACATTGGACAATCCGCTACTACAAATACAGAAAGAGAAAGATCAGTTCTTTGGCAAACTTGTATGAAAAAAAGAATGACGAAAGGTCAGGTCAAACCCTAGAAGTAAACGCTGAATTGTACCTGATGATTGGTAAATGTGCGAACCCTAAATCAACAGCAGAAATCTGTATTACATACGTGAATAAGAAGTAGACATCTAGTACAATGCAAAGAAGAGAATTAAGGGGAAAAGCAGCATGAACGGTTCACTCGTGTATGCAAAAATGGACCAGCAAGAGAATTCACATGGAGAAATTAATACACTGTTAAACAAAATGCTAAGTTAAGATGACGAAAAGTACTGGTATTAAGGACATAAAAGCAAACATACCACAGGCAAGGCAGTGATGAAGAAAATTTCTGGGACTGTTTCTACGATGCAGGTTGTAATACGAAGAAGATGAAGATGAAGACGGAGAGAAGGTTTTGTAATGGTCAGTGTATAAGGAAAGCGAGGTTTCTTTATCGTAAAAAAGGAGCAGCTTGGTGTTTGGGCCGAATAAAAAAAGTGTAAACAAATGTAAAGCAAATTAAACAGGAAATGGGCCCAACTCTCGAAACACACCAAATGCATATTTGCAGTGAAGTCAAAACCAAGTGATTATAGCATCCAAAACGCGGTCTATATTGTTGTGTCAGTGTAAATTGTTTGTAAACCCAGGACATACTGAAAGCAGTATGGAAAAAGAATTCATATTTCATCGTAAGAAAAAGCAAAAATTATGATTGAGCATTGGTAGGCAAAAAGTGAACTACGGTGAATGGCAAACCAATATAACTATTTAAGATTAGTTAATCTCAGGAGATGCCAAACGGGAAAAGTTACACATTCAATCGAGGTACAAACAACACAGAGGACATCCTTAAAAAGAAACAGCTTTCTTTAGAGCGCAGCAGCTACGCAGTCGGTGTTGGTTGTAAAAGAAAAAAAAAATACAGAGGAAGTTGTATACTGAAACCTAAAAAATACAACTTGCAATTTCCTGATAAGCCTGCAAATGACTCATTTGTAGCTGAAATCGAGATGCATCATGTTATAGCATGTGTATCTAATGCAACAATAATGTTATGATTGATTACCTAATATACACAGTGTAAAACCACGTAAACGTACTAAATCGCAAAACAAAGGTACCAAAGTATCAATAGGCTGATGCACGATAAACTTCATGTAACACTTGTACTTATAAAGAAATTAGCCAGGAAAAGTAGCAGAGGGTACATAGTAAGCATCTATACAACAGAGAACAGTTACTAAAGACAAGATTTCGAATAAGTAAAGGGCAGGACGGAGGAACTTCTTCTGTAACAGCGTGATTCGCAAAAGTAATTGAAAGACATGACTCTGGACAGAAGGAAGAGGCGCTGCATTCCTGATAAAAGATAAAGAATCAAGTTATCCAGCCGATGTAGCGAAAGCTTAATAAAGATTGTAACAGCTAGAATATGGATACAAACAATGAACTATTACCTGCACAAAATAGGATTGGTTGGAAAAGGATGGGTAGACTGGAACCATATTAGGAACAGCACCGCTGTTACTATGATGTTCAAGCAATGATCGCGAAAAACAAAAAATCAGTCCGGTAAGTTCTGAAAATGTGAAATTCTAAAAAAGAAAATTATGAAAGACCAAGCATACCTGTGCGACGTCAGCAATATCCAGCAGGTCAGCAAGTGCTTCTTGGTAGACTATATTGCGAGTGTATTTCGAAGGAATCCCATCTTCATTAATAATCAATAACCGTAGGCCCGAAGCAGATCTAACTCGCGATACAGCAACATAGAGCTGTCCATGACTAAAAACAGGCTTCGGTAAATAGACACCAACACTCTGCAGCGTTTGACCTTGGCTCTTGTTGATCGTCATGGCATAACAAAGTCTAACTGGGAACTGTCGCCGTTTCAGAACAAAAGGCCAGCGATGATCATTAATATTAAGGACTATTCTGGGAATAGCGACAGTCTTTCCACTGAACGTCCCACCCATGATAATTCCTCTAATCACATAATGGCCTAAGTAAATAACCATTAGTCTTGTGCCATTACACAATCCAATTGCTGGGTTAAGGTTACGAAGAAGCATGACCGGTGTGAAGACTTTCAGCTCTATGTTGTGTTCTGGATAACCATTGAAAGAAAGACCGTTCAAGAACTCCGTAGGATATTCCGCTTCTATACGATATGAATCCGCTGCATCTGTATGCAAAGTATCACTACTATAGTAAGAGCGTCCTGTTCCTGGGACCAAAGCAAGCATGTGAGCATTAATCTCAGTAACATTGCGATTGGTGGGTGTGATGATTGATCGCTCAGTAAGGTAGGAAATATTATGATATCGTTGCTGGAAATCAGTGTAGATTTCAGTTGCCATTGTCTGAACAGGAGACCCAACAGTTTGAATGAGCAAAGCTTCTGGAATTTCTACCCAATCAGCTGGTTGGTTTTCTTTAAACGATCTCGCTGGCATTGTTCCATTACCTATGGAAAGAGTCCAGCGACCAAAGTTCATTCCGTGAAAATCCAACTGGTTATTTGCAGAAGAAGAATCTACACGCATATTTTCACTCAAATGCAGAACCATGCAAGAATTCCATAAATAAGATCTGGTCAAAGATGAATCCACACTTTCCTCTTTTCCGGAATCAGGCACAATTGGTAATGTCTGTCGAAAGTCACCTCCCAATAGAACTGTCTTTCCCCCAAATGGTTTGTAATGCACACCAGTAAAAGGAACATTCATAATGTCACAAAAGGCACGATCAACTGCTTCAAATGACAAACGATGCACCATAGGAGCCTCATCCCACACAATCAAATATGCATCGACTATCGATTGAGCAAGTGGAGTGCCTTTCCTTATATTGCATGAAGATGTATGGTCAATCTCAAGAGGTATCTTGAACCGGGAATGTGCTGTACTTGCATTAGGGAGCAAAGTCGCAGCAATTCCAGAAGAAGCAACCACAAGAACAACCTTTCCTAGCTCTTTCAAGTGGGCAACCAAAGCCTTGTAAAGGAAAGTTTTCCCAGTTCCTCCATGTCCATATAAAAAAAAGAAATTTTGTCTTTCTGCAGAGGAAGAATTAACAAAAGCCAAAACTGAATGGTATGCGAGTGCTTGCTGTGCATTCAGGTCTGCAACATTTGGTTGTACCGTAGAAGCATCTTCTGGTATAGTAAATGTCGACATGGGATCAGAAGCATAAATAGGTTCTTCTGCTGATCGAGGCATTGTCGGGAGTGGAAGTCCAAAATGCGAAAGAGTTGCTGAATAGACATCTAACATATGCTGGAGTTCCCATAACAATTTATTTTTGGCAAATCAGGTGGAATCAAGTCATTGTTGAATCTAACGGCTCGCTGGCATTGGTATGTTATATCCTCAGAAAGTAATTCCCAAGTTTGATTGAAGAGACCTGCTGGATCTGAAAGCTCGCAAAACATGAGCATGGACACAAATAAATATCTCAAAATTCGGCACATTCCCCATTGACTGACTTCCTGTATGACCAGAAGCCATTCATCGTCATTAGATAGCAAACCAAGACGCTGACATGCAGCTTGGTATGTCCGACAGGGGTAACCGTTAATTGTGCGTAGATGAGCAAATGACACTGCTCCACGTACTTTCGTTAGAATCTGCCTGAGGTAGAAAGTGTCTCCGCAGCCAGGGTGGATATACACAATTCGACCAATTGAGAAGCCTTTCTTCCTTGGGCACCATTTCTTACTTTTCAAGTTCCATATATATCGATTTGGCGTCTCAGCGTAAAGAAGAGTGCGAGCTTCTGCATCCCTCTGGTTCAAAGCGAACCACTGGGTGAGTGTAGTTTCCATGACGGCATCACTCGCAAGAATGCGTGATAGTTTTTGTTTTTTCCTGTACGGAACTCGATGTTTCCCTTCCAAGTGCACACACAGCCGCTGAACAGAAGGTGTTCTTTCATGAATTGGAAACTCATAGATCCGCCAAGCTGCTTCATAAGAGGACAAACTCCTGCAGTCCAGGAATTGTTTGATTTCGTCAATAGATTGTGGCTGACCTGGTAGCACTGGATTCGATGAAGGCCCTGAATTGTTTTCTGCTAAAACAATAGCACGATCTGGTCCTTTTGTGATGTATTTGAATAGGTATTTAATCAGGCGCCCTTGATGACAGACTTCAACATTTATATGTGCCTGGAAAAGCACAACTAAATTCCTGTTATATGGAACCACAAATCTATTATCGAGCACTGCCCCTCCCTTTATTGACGTAACTCCAGTATCACGCCGGCGATAGACTGTATAACCAAACTGGTCCGTTGTAGTTTCTGAGTTGAACGGCTTAGGAAAATATTTAGAACACAATCCTTCCTTCATGCAAACATTTGCTGGGTTGTCAGTGCCACATGGACCATGGAGCATAAATTTCGTCACAGCTTCATAACCAATAGGATCTGTTTCTGGGTCAGGTAATTCAGCAGAAACAGTTGCGTCAATTTCAGCAGTTGTCCGCAGTTTATGCTTTTCATCCAACCATAAGAGTATATGAACATGAGGCAGGCCACGCTTTTGGAACTCAACTGTTTTTATGCCTGCATAAGGAAGAAGATTAACACGCTAAAACACAACACCTAACAATGGCCAAGTGTAAACAATGAAAGGGACTGCAGTATAGGCAAGTTTAATTATCAACCCGGGGTCTAGATCTACTGCTTACTCCGTGATTCTCTATTATCTAGCAAACTAAGTCGAGTGATTGTTGTAAAAAGTATAAGCAACAAGAAAGCAGTAAATTGTTCGGGTTTCTAAAGCAGGTAAGAGTAACCCCTTAGTTAGGTTCAATTGCAATTCCCTGGGTTGATTTACTGTTGATTAGACTGCGGAAGATCCGACAGTAGCTTGGAATCTCTTAAGCTGACCAAGCCCTCTCAGTCTAACTACCCGGCAGACGACTAGTCTTCACCGGGATAGAAAGCTGAGGCTATGAACACAGAACTCCACTACTGGCGTCAAGAACACCAGTACAAAGCAGTCAACTGGCTAACTCTCGTATAGCCAATCTCCTACTATCGAATGAAGAGGCTCTAACAACCTAATCAGATTCTATCTATCTCGCGTTGAAGCAGAAATTGAGACAAGCTGATCAGACTCAAATCAATTCATGAAACATGCGTCATTCGATTAAAATCAAGCAGTAATATCATCCCAAGTCATTACAATCAAATCCCTAACACAAGGAACTAGGGTTCTTCATACCCAAGTGAGAGAAGGGTTCTACTCCATAGAGAGAGAAGAGAAAACAAGAATCGGATTAGTCATACTCATAACGATGAGGATAATCTGCTCCGGGACGATGATTTTCACTCCTATGACGATCTCCAGGCTCGATTCGATGAAATCCAGCTCTAGGACAGCTCCTAGGATGTGTCCTTCGCACTTTCTCTCTCTAGGGCTCTGTTTTTGCTCTCAAAACACGATTCTCCCACTTTTGGCTCGAATTAGGCTTAAAAACCGACTTTCCCGAGTTGCACGGCCAGGTGCACGGCTGTGCACAACACCATTCTGGCCGTGCACCCTCAAAACGCACCGTATCAATTATTCGGCCTTCATCCACCTTGCACGGCCAGGCGCACGGCCGTGCAAGCTTCAAGCCTGCCCGTGCATGGCCTCGACATGAGGTGCACGGCCAAATGGCTCAAGTGCACGGCCGTGCAGCCTCCTGGTCTGCCCGTGCACTCCCCAAACAGCTCGCCCTTCGTCCGTTCTTCGTCCAATCGACCCCAGACTCGCTCCTAAGCCTTCATTCACGTACTAGGACCTGAAATAACACAAACAAGCACAACCTAGCGTGAAATCGGCCTAAAACACGAGAATCAACACCTCAAACGGTATAAGTATGAGGGTAAAAACATGTGTAAATGACGGTCTATCAAAGATCCATACATGTCAAATGACCATAGGTACTGGACAACAGCAGTTAAACAGTAGCTTGCCATTTTTATGGATAAACAAAAGAAGGTAATCTGTAACATATACACTAACCTGCAACAGTTTTCCCGAAAAAGCACGACCGACTAAGCTCATCCTCAAGAGCATTTAGCTTCATCCGGAAAACTCTAGCAACGATCTGTGGTTTGAGTTCGCTTTTTGAACCACAAATCTCGCGAAATGATTCAGTAATTTCAGGCCACTGAGCATTGCAAGTAAAAGTGATGAAGAGGTCTGGGCTGCCATGATGGTGAACAACAGCCATTGCATCTAGATATAGTTGCTTCATATACCTAGGGCTGCCAGTGTATGATGAAGGCAAAACAACATGGCCAAGATCGTCTCCAGTAACATCACCCCTATTAAAGGCATCGGCTAGACCATGGTAAAGTTCAGATCGAAGTTCCTCTTGATGAGAACGGAGATAATGAAGTCTATTTTGCTCAACTGTTGAGAATGCATCGACAATATAATGCTGTAACGCCTTGCCACCCCAAACTAATGTTTGGCCCTCATTGTCTCTATGTTGCAACCGGTAAGCATAATATTCTCGTTGAGTGACGTACTTACGTTTAAGTGTCGGCGAAGTGTGAACTGTGTCATAGGGTATCTTGGTGTGAAAACCATCCTCACCATAGGGAAACAACACTGGAAAATGCAGAGCATCAAACCTGGGATTCAGACTTGTAATTCTCTTGAGACCCTCAGTCCGGTGATCAATAATAATATCTCGGTCTTCTTTGTCAGCGACAAAATCACCTGGTACTAAGCCAGCAAGCTCAGTACCTGTTGGCAAGTCATATTGGCGATTTGGTTCTCTTGCACCAACTATTCGAAGTTTCATACTATTGGTGGGAAAATTGGAGAGTTCAGTGCGAATCCTGCGAAATGATTTGACCAGTTCATTGTTGATGTCAAAAAGCCTCATCAAACCAGACACTATATCAGGGCGCAGCTGCTTTTCCGTTGAGGAGAAGTTCGAGACCCGATCAATTAACTCAGTTTCAGGATAAAAAATATAGAGCTGAGAATATTTTGGTTTGCGACCTGGCAATGGAAGTAAAGAACCAATGCGATGATAGTTCTCACCACAGATAACAAAGGAGTATGGACCGCGTGATCTGGATGCTCGTGGGTCCAACTGTGCGCCAAACGATGTGAATGAGAAAGCTGCATTATATGAACGGATGTGTTCCCGAAAATGTGCAGCCATTGGCCCCCCGTTGACACCAAGCAACTGGTTAAGATAGTCTGGCGTGTCTTGCAGAAAAGGTAGGCGGACTCGACCCCTTTGGCAGCATAATGTGAAAGTAGGCACGAGCGATCGATGCCTATTAAGCCGCTCCTCATACCAAAACCGTGCCCCACAGAACTGGCATTCACAATCAGGCATGCCATGATCAATAACCCTGACAAAATCAGTTTGTTGTGCAGGCGTAAGAGGATCACGAGACAACACTGGATCCTGAGCTTCAACCTCTGGCAGTGTAGCTTCTGCTTGATCAGAAAGATTCCCAGCTGTCTGTTCTTCGCAGAACGGGAATAGCCTAGATCGCCGATCAAAGTTACAAACACGACGTCGAGCAGGAGGGTTGGAGGGAGGCGTCTGTGGAGCAAAAGTTTGAGCCATCATGACACAGCGCCGCTTTCGCCCTTGAGAACAGGCTGTTGTAAGGTTTGCTGACTGAACAGTCGAAGTCTGCTCATCGGAAAGGAAAATTAGATACTACTCTTCATAAAGTGCAGGGGACGAAAACCTCAGCATAAATAAACTTGTTCATGATATGCGAAAGCAACAAACTGCAAAAGGTGCGAAAACAATACCATCTGAGTTTTGTAAAAGGCACAGAAAGTCCGATCATGAAAATCGAGCACCTGCAAAACAAATACGCTGCATGCATTAAGAAATGACAACCTAACTACCAAAAAAGCATGCAAAGGAAGGAAAACGGACATATTTACGAACCAGGCACCTAGAGCATTAAAACTGCAGTAATGGTGAGATAATGAGGGAAGAAGATGAACACAGGCCAAGTAAACAGACAGACAGCAGTTGTCACATACAGTATAATCGTTTGAGGAGTTGGAATTACCTTTATTGGCAAGATAAACTAATGGATGGGACAGCGAGCAAGAGTAATGATGATCTTGTACAACAGACATTTCATTTAATGCACGCAAGACAAAAGGGAAAGTAATTAACCTGCCATCAGCATATTATAATTTAACAAAAGGAAAAATTGTAAACATACAGAAGGAGCAAGCGATAAAGTTAGTTCGCTGCAGCAGATCAGAGGAAGAATCGAATGGAAGTTTAATCTTTGATGATGTAAGGGGAATGTAGTACAAAAGTAAAGGATAATCAAAGGCAATCGAAGGTGGCGCTACAAACGGCAACCACAACATAATAGAAATATAGGAAATCAGTTTGAGACCAATAACATATATATCCGAGGAAGTCATTGTACGATTACATAATAAGCGTTACATGCCTGATCATCAAGACAAAAGGTGTGGCAAATATCAGACAGAACTTAAAGACAAGCCGATTGAAATACAAGTTCTGTTATGAAGTTAATACACAAAAGAGCGTTCCTAAACAAAAGCAACACTGAGAACTTCAAACGGTGGTAGAGAGCAGAAATCAATCACCATTCCAATGGTTCAGGAAGTAAACAGCTGCTTCTTAGATTTTTTTTTGCGAGGAGAGGCAGCAGTTCCTTTTTTGTTTGGGGTAACCTGCAAGGCAGACTCTGCTGCTCGCCTGGACGGTGTTCGGGTTCTTTTTGGTCTGACCTCAGCATCAATTTCTTGAACGGAGTGCGAAGGCAGACCAGATGTAGGGGGAATACTAACAGGGAACACAGCAGCAGCAACCGAAGGGTCCAAACTATTCTGAGGCAGGGGAGTGTCATCAGGGAAATCACTATATTCAGGTATAAGCTCATCTGCAGATCCAGCAAGATGATCCCGGTGTGGAATAAGTCGGCGATGTTTAGCGACCGGAGACAGCTGCTCAACCTCCGCACTTAAAACAAACGGGAATGGATAAGCAAGGTACCATTAAATTGAATGAACTAAACAGAAGTGCAGTGCACAGCAAGCGTACATTTCAACAAGCTCATCAAAAATTGTCTGGTGATGGGGAAAGGGAGCACTGCCTCGCCGTTCAACACAAAAAAGGGGTTCTTCATCAGAAGCAGATTGATGGAGTGTATCTTCAGACAATGGCCTAGAATAAAAACACACAAAATTAATAAGCAACCAAACCTGCCGCAACCAAAAAATGAAGAAGACCAGCGGTAGACTTGTCAACAAAATCATATGCCATAAACCCCAATAAGATGAAGAAAAAAAAAGGGCAAAGACAAACAAATATAGTAATAAAGAAATTGTACTAAGACGGGCTCAAACTATACTGATTCCATACCAAACAGGCACAGGATCCAGTTGGATTTGCTGAATATTCTTCCCATGTAATGAAGTCCTGAAAGACCCCCCCCTACCAACAACCTGAGAAAACCGGTACAGGTAAATGGCAACCTCTGTGAAGTTAAATGAAGGGGAACACCAACCTCTGCGGATTTGCAGACTTCTTAGGGGTACTTTTTCGGGAGCGGCCTTTTTTTTTTGCTGGAGAAAGATCAACCCGAGCAGACTCAAATTGAACTGGCTCTTGTTCAGAAGAGGCATCCAATGTGCTGCTAAGAAAAGTGAGGAGGATTAATCAGTGGTCAAATAACTCTTTTAAGTTATTTTCATTCAATTTCATCACCCTTATATAAAAAAGGTATTGCAATTAAATCTGATATCAGCATATATCATCGAGTAATGCATGATGCTAAATAGCCCTCGTTGACCAATAGGTTCTGCTTCTGTCAAGCAATTTTCTAACCTAGATCATACACTAATGATTATAACGAACTTCATGAAGCTAAGTCTCAGTTTGGTTGAAAGAATGAAAAATGGTGAGAACCAATGTAAAATTATGATTGTATAAAGCATAGTACTCTGCTCATGACAGTGTAACATCTTTTCACATCAACTAATGTTCATACTTCATATTGAAACCCCCCAGACCAATTATGCAACATTCTAAAAAGTAAGGTAAGACAGGACATGAGGCTATTGAATTATTGATTGAAACCTTGTAATCCTACCAACAACCTGAGAAAACTGGTTTAGGTAAATGGCAACCTCTGTGAAGTTAAATGAAGGGTGATACCAACCTCTGTTGATTTGCAGACTTTTTAGGGGCACTTTTTTGGGAGTGGCCTTTTTTTTCGCTGGAGAAAGATTAAGCTGAGCAGATTCAAGTTCAAGTGCCTCTTGTTCAGAAGAAGTATCCAATGTGCTGCTAAGAAAAGTGAGGATGATTAATCAGTGGACAAATAACTCGGCAAGTGTAGCTGAAGCTAATCGGAAAGAGAAGAAACCCATGTGGGGGGTATAACGGAGGTGAGCTAAGGTTAGCTGTAGCTCTAGGCCTGAGAAGTAAAAAAAACCAAACATAAGAATCTTCAGTGCATAAATGAAAGTAAAGTACAATAGGCAGGCTAGAGGCAGGTTTGCAAAGGAAGAAACTAAACAAAATAACCTCAACTGCAAGAGACGGAGACAGGTCTGCGTAAAAGGATTGCAAAAAAAGGCAAAACAAATGTAAGGTAACATATGGAGGATGTGATAACCTAACGAACCTTGCATACATAACAGGAGAACTTGCAACAGAGGGATCTGAGACAAATGAAGCACCAAACCTGATAAAACAGAGGTTGAAGATGAGCACATAGAGTGTAGCTTTGAATAATGTCCAGACAGAGATAAGAGTAACCTTGCAGGTGCAATTGGGTGAACCGAGGAAGATGCAGGGTCTTGTGACGAAAAACTCCCATGCCTGTAAGGCGCGAAATAAAAGAATGCAAAATAAACAAAGAGAAGTCTAAACGCAAAACGATGAACAGGAGCAGTGGAGAAAAGGCATATGCAAATACTATAAAGTTAAAAAAAGTGCTAGCTGTTGTAGAATTAAAATAAGCAAGAATAAGCGCCTGAAACACAGAACTGGTTAAAGCCAGGAAATGCAGTAAAGCAATAGGAATGAGGACCAAGTAACAACGACTGTCTGTGAGATGGGAAATGAGTAAGAAAACACAAGAACCTTCCAGGCGACGCTGGGAGTGATGAAGCACGACCGGGGGAAATTAAGAGTGAGCGAGACCTAGAACGTAGGAACATAACAACATAAGGGACAACAACGGTGGATAACTTCCTAAAGAAAGGTATCATCTATCAACAGGCAAACCTCGTAGCCGATGGTAACGGAGAACCAACTATCTTTGCCTGTGGAGAGGGAGGTGGAAGTCGTGGCAATGCAGGTGCAACCTGTTCGGGTTCTTGAACGGCCAGAACTGAGAATTCATACTGGCCACGCGCCAAGTACTCTGTTTTAGGCAGCTGGACATCAAATTCCAGGGTTCGATTTTCAAGAGCAAGGAGATCCGGTGGCAAATGGCCACGCTGAAACGGGAACCGAGCAGACAATTCAGGTGCCGTTGTCCCCACAAGAGCATCAGCAGCCTTACCGAGCAGAACAAAAACTGCTGAAGACGTATCGTCCACGACAGTCATGCGCACCCGATAGCTGTAAAAGGGAGGGAGTACAAATTAAGAGCTAAAATGCACAGGTCTAAGAGCAACAGAACGACAAAGGTATTAACTCACCAGTTTTGCGTTTGCTGGGGCTCCAAACGACGATGTTCCTCACACCAAAGATCAGGACGAATATATGGCTTGGCTGCCTTTGAGCAGAAGCCACAGCCTAAATAATACCACTGTGAGGAGGAGTCGATCGCAACCACTTGACCGGAACAATGATACCGAGTAGACTGTAGAAAGCAGCGGTAAGTCCCCATAAGAAGAGAACAGTTAAGAAAAAGAAGAGCGCAACTACGGAAACGCACATCAGGTTGGAGTGTGTCACAAAGAGCAAGCAGCTGTTCAAGAGTCTTTGTACGATCAGCCTCAAATGCAACAGCATCCTCAGGGGTGGGAAACCGGGGTGGATAATACTGCACACTGTTCCTTGCAGCAAAGAACCTGTGAAACGAAAAGATTCTTCAAATAGAGTTTTTCTAAACAAACAAAAAAACATAAAAACACATGCTTACGTAGACTGGATCACGTGAGTCATCTCCGACAATGGATCAAGCAAGATGCGCGTTCCAGGTGTGCTATACAAAGAAAACCTGCCTAAAACAATGAGGAAAGCAAATAGCAATAAACTGTTAGCAAGTAAAGTTTGCAGGAAGGCAATTCCACGAGCGGGCATAAAAACATTACCCTTGGTGGCACCAGTGACCCGTAGGCTCCCGAAACCAAGAACAACAGGTCCAGAACGGCCGAGGTGTGCCAATTCCTCACCATCAACAGCCCGAGCTATCTCACCCCATAACGTTATATCCAGCAACAGGTGACTACAAACAAAAGGAAGAGGCAAAAAAAACTATCAAAAGAACAAGCAATTATGCAAGAGCATTTGGAAAAGGAAAGGGAGATTAAGGACCTCTCGTTCTGAATGACAACTTCACGACGAATAGCGCTACCAAAGGATGTAAAACCATGAGAAATACCAGTAACACTGACAACCGCGCCAACGACATCTAGACGGTAGTGGCAAAAAGGAAAATAGTCAAAGGAAGGTGACCTGAGAAATAAGTAAGCACAGACGAAGCAAGCGGGCGGGAAAGCAAACCTGTGAGAAATACAGTGGAACGGATGCGAGAATGCAGCGAAGCGAACGAAACAAACTCAAAAGCATCGTTCCAAAATGTAGATTCAGAAGCAGTAACATCTGTAATCTGCGTGTCGTATGAAAGGACAATGCAGAGGTTATGGGAACACGGCCGGTAAGTAGGGCTTGGAGGCTGAACGACGACGCCGCTTATCATGTAGACATTTCCTATTTGAAGAAGAGGGGCGAAATGCTGGGCCAACTTAGCCGGGGCGATACCTTGAATCAGCGTACCCTGCGACATTAGAAGAAGGAAAGGAGCACGATTAGATGAGGAAGGAAGTCGAGAAGGTTCATTGGAGACCTAAGCAGAGGAAACAGGCGGAGGGACAGACCTCTTCATCGTTCCAGAGGGTGCAGTAGTTAAAAATGTAGGAAGGATTCTTAAGGCCATATGAACCCCAGGCATGAACCAGCCGCAGCTTGAGAAGAGTGTGCAGGCCGTCTTTTTCCGTCAGCTGGAACAAGAGCTTGTGGGTCACCATCGTCGCGGCGTAGACAACGAACGGAGAAAAAAACAGCAGAGCTGGGTTGTGTGGAAAGGGTAGTGAAATTATGCAGGCGAGGGGTAAGTAACAACAAAGGGAGAAAAAGTCGGAAGAGGTGATGTAGATGAAAGGCACCACATCGAGGCAATGAGATAGGCGGTGCGATAATCGAGTGAAGACCGAACAGAAGAACAACGACGGCAGTGCACAAAACAATGATGTAGAGCATTGACATTAGCAGAGCGGCGGTAGGAGGAAAAAGGTGAAAAGAAGAGAGGGGTGTGACCGGGAGCTGACATGAATGGATCTCCATCAAATGGCAAGGGATACGCAGAGTCATGGTCTCGCAATGAGAGAGAGGGAGGCAGGCAGATTGATGGGTGGAGACAAAGACAGCCGGAGACGGAGCAGAGAAACAAAGAAGGCAAAAGTGGAGCATAATTATGTTTTTGGTCACCAACAAAGAACAAGTCATTAACGGTTAATTACAAAAGGGCCACCCAATGGATGTGACTCTAAGAAACAGTAATTTTGAAGCTTGTTCTTTTAAGAGTTTTAATGAACATTGACCAATTACTAGCGCTAGTATTAATTAAAAGAGTTTAACTCATCATTAGAACCATAATCAATCATACACCACAAGTTCATTATATAAACTAGAATTAGATCAACAAAAAACCTATAATAGAGGCCCCCTAATATTTGGAGACCCTGTACCGGAAGGCCTCCCGGCACACATCATTGGTTGGCCCTGTATCCAACCAATAAGGACAAAAAAAAAAAAATTGGACATTGTAGCGAATCACTCTGAACTTGAACATTCTTTTTTATAAGGGTGACTGAACTTGTATATTTTTAAAAAAATGGTTCATGGAAAGCGTACTACTATGCAAAATTTTATAGTAACTAGAAGCTTGTTAGGCAAAAAAAAAATTGTAACATTTTATGAGGGATGTATAAAGATAAAAGAACAAATGGTAGCATAGAAATGAACAATTGATAAGAATATCCAGTCAACAAAACAGACTTCAAAAGTGCTCCAATTGCAAAAGCAACAACCCACCCTCAACCTCAATTTCATTTCCTTTCCTTATGTAAAGGAGCCAGCCACTATATTACTACCACCCATGGACGTGTATGGAGCACCGAAAGGCGAAAGCTGAAGAACTAGATATGTTGCAACATGTCAAGTTGCCACCCCATTATCGTGTGAGAGATAAGGATCGTCCATAAAATCATGTAATTATATTATAACTTTCATAAATATGTATGGATCAACAAACTAAATAAGTATAATCTATAATCGTCCAATCATATTTTCGAATCATCACTATTTACTAGGTCTGGCCGTGTTAGGAGTACCAAACGAAAAGTTTTACAAAACAATTCCTAGATTAGAAATGTGACACTGTCACATCTTTGTTGCATAAATAAAGTGGTATTTACAACGGAACAATCCATATTACAGTTTTGCTATTGTACAAAGCCACCACATCTAGCTTAAACATGCAAAAGTACATTTTCCACTTTGTTGAGTTCCATCATCAGCGTTACCAAACAGAGAAGTTTTACTTCCTCACACTCTTCACATTCTACTATTCTAGTCGACATTCTCTGTTCACTTCTTTATGCTTTATGAGTTGCCCTCTCCCAAGACGGAATGCCGAATGTTGAAAGCCAAGGTAGGTGCAGGGTGGAAGAAGGCAGCTGAGCTGAGCACCCGATTGGTCCAGCTCCTGGCCCATGGCCCAAACCCAGGCCCAACCACCCGAACAGGCTGTACCTAAAAATTCGGCTTAATTGCAAGTTTGGTCACTCGAATTGCTCAAAAATTTCATGTTTGCCACTCGAATTGATTTATTCCATTTATAGTCACTCGAATTAGTTGAACAGTCCAAGTTCGGTCACTCTCCGTTAACCTCCATTAGACTCCGTTAATGACGACCGTTAAGTGATGACATGGCTAACAGAAAGACACAGTCAGCACATTTTAACATTAAAAAAAGACTACCCGACCCGCCAGCTCAGCCTTACCCGCCCTGCCAACCATTTTTTGCCCAACCCGCGAACTAACCGATTCAACGGCCATCCACCCGTCGTCGTCGCCGTCACCTCCTCATCTTTCATTCATCAGCCATCCACCTGCCGTCCTCGCCCTATTCTTGAATCAAATCTGGGGTTTTGCTTGGCAGAGGCAAATTGGATGCATGACTATGAAAGCTTACTCAGAAAGTGACCTTCCAGATCTTGATTCTCAAGTCCACCTTACACTTGGACCCAGCAGTTACAACAACAGAGGGAGGAGCCTTACCTTTCGGTACCGCCCCTTTAATGTCCTCACAGGTGACCCGAATCCCAACTTTCTTCGTCTTCAGCTTGCCCACCTTCACAACCACTTTCGTGTCCAGCTAAATCTTGAGCGCCGCCACTCCGTTCCTCTTCTTCAGATCCGATCTGAGCCCGTTCACCGACTTCGCGTCCACCTCGTTCGACCCGGACACCACCACGTTCCTCAGGCTCGTCTCGTTCTTCTTGCTCAGCGAGAACGCCGGGAGGGTCCCGTTGCCGAGGAAGACGTCACCGGAGGCGGCGCTGACGGTGAATGGGTCGTAGGAGAAGGAGAGGTAGGAATTGGGGTTCGCGGGTTGGGAAAAAAATGGCTGACAGGGCGGGTAAGGCTGAGCTGGCGGGTCGGGTCGTCTTTTTTTTAATGTTAAAATGTGCTGACTGTGTCTTTCTGTTAGCCACGTCATCACTTAACGGTCGTCATTAACGGAGTCTAACGGAGGTTAACGGAGAGTGACCGAACTTGGACTGTTCAACTAATTCGAGTGACTATAAATGGTATAAATCAATTCGAGTGGCAAACGTGAAATTTTTGAGCAATTCGAGTGACCAAACTTGCAATTAAGCCTAAAAATTCCGAAGTCAGCCGTCGGTCTATCAATGGGCGGGAGGAACCTTTTATCCAAACAAATAATAATATTCTGTAATTTAATTGAAATATGAATTTTTGTAATTACACTAATTAACGATTGTCTTTGTTCGGACCATACGACCAATCATAATATTTTTTCCGCACAGACTAATCACTAATAATTAATTAATCAAGCATAAGATTAGGCCATACAGCACAAAGGTTAGATTAAGGTTAACTAACAAAAATTCCTAATTGTTAAAGATAATGACATAGTAAATTAGTATCCGTACCAATTATTGATAACTATAAAATTATATTATTGTTTTCCATTTCCGTGGCAAAGTTCTACGCACGCCAACCAAACCTATCCATCTCCTCCCTCTACTACACAAACTCTCACAAACCCTTTTTCTCTCGCTCTTCCACCGCCCCGAAGCTGCTGTTTCTCTCTTCATCTTCTCCCCTTCCAGTTTCCCGATCGCCGGAGCAATTCTCCTCTTTCATTTATCAGATCAGGTACGATCGATTCCCTCTTTCTACTCTCTCTAACTCTCTCGACTCCGATTCACGAGCTCCGTATTGTTTACATCTCTCTCTGGCTCGGAGCAGTCATGGTGTCTGCCTGTCATCGTCACCGAGTGCATCACTTTCCTGCTCCCTTTTCTAACTCTCTTCTCTTTCTCTCTCTCTGTTTTTCCCGTGCTTGTTTGATCGTTCCTTCAGCTCCATGGATATATGCTTACTGTTAATGTGATTTTGATTTTCCCCTTTTCATCCACGCTTCTGGTTTTTCCTTGGTGGCGATGAAAGTGATTGATTGGGCTGCTCGTGGCCTAGGGTTTATTGATCGATAGTCAATTCGGTTGTCATTTTCCGAGTTGATATTCCTTCCGTTTTTCATTTGAGCATATTCTGTTTGCTGAAGTTAATAGAGGGTTATTATTGTTTGGCAGGGGCTGCTGCGCCGGCATGTGACTTCAGGCCGAAGAAGAGCTTTGACATGGTCTTGGATGGGAACCGGATATAATTAGGGGGGAGGACGAGGAAAATTAAGTATATATCATGGGAGGCTGCTGCTGCTGTTCCTCCAAGGGAGCTGAACTTAATCCCACTCCCGCCTATTACTATGTCAGTAGCCCTCCAAGCAATTCTGTTTGATTCAGGATTGAGATAGTATTCGGATGTTTTTCCTTTGATGGGTTTCTTTTTGTCTAGTGTGGTGAATTCATACTTCTTTTCATCTGATTTCTCAAGAACTGTTTCTGGGTTTGATTACTTCAGTTGGAAGTTGATACAAGGGAATTGTTCTCTATGGGAATTTAGGTTTACAGAAATGTTTAAACTGCTGGTTTTTATGTACTGCTTCTGTGCTAGAATTTCGCTTAGCAACTGGGATGGATTACCCAATTTGTATATTGCTGGAATGCAACATGAGATGGGCTACGCTTTAGGATAATTTATGTGAAGTTGATAGTAGCTTCCATTGCCATTTCATTCTTTCCGGCAATTATCTGATGTGGATGCGTCTCTTTTGCGTTTAGGATAGAGAAGGTTTTGGTGGCCAGTGCTTACTTTTTTTGTGCTTGGAAAATCAAGCTAGCCTGTTTGCTGCAGTTGCGTGCTGATCCATTATTCCTCTTGTTGGTTATATGCAGTATCCTAGAGCATCAGAAGAGCGTGTCCCATTGTCAGCTCACCATGTTGCTGCCTCTACGTTCTCTACTGGGCTCCTTGTTGATACCAACCTGGACACTTCCATCCCTGATGCTTATAGGCCCCCTCCAACACCCATGCCATTTGATGTTGTTATAGGGCGTCCACAAACTCCTCCCGGAGCTCAAGAAACTTGTGATAATAAGAGTGATGGAACACTCCAAACTGCAAACTCTGATTCCGTTCAAGAATCAGCCAGTGCTGGTACTCAAGATGCATCTGTTAAGTGTGACGATGTCAAGGATTCAGATAAAACAAAAGCAGGCTTAGAAATTGAACCGGTAGAGGAGTTAGAGGTAGAGATTACCAAGCCAGTTGAGCCTTTTGTTCCGCCTACAGAGGAGGACTGTTGTCCCACATGTCTGGAAGGTGATTCCCGTCCTATTATAGACTGGTTCGATTTCTTTTGATGCTTTGTCCTCCTTTGTCACCCTTTTTTGTCCTCCATCTCACGCAGAGTACGATGATGAAAACCCGAGAATCATCACCAAATGCGAGCATCATTTTCACCTGGCGTGCATTTTCGAGTGGATGGAAAGAAGTGACACATGTCCCGTTTGTGATAAGGTTCGTAATCTCATAACATGTCAGTCAGTTGATTACCGTTAGGGAATAGCATATTGATAATGACAATTGTGTCTGGTTTTCCATTTGATGCAGGAAATGATCTTCGATCCTCCTAATGATTAGCAAAGCTGTACAGAATACTTGGATAAAGGGCCCGACAAGTTAGATGTTTTTTCACCCGAGTCTGAGAATACAAGTGTTGCAAATGCATAGAAGTCTGTTTTTGTCTTTTGTTTGTTTATTGTCCTGTGATTGCGGCAGATATCGGGCTGCAGCTGTTTCTTTCTTTTGCTCTGATCATTCTCGGCTCAGTGTTGAGCTCAGTATTGTCTTTCTCAGTCAATGATGGAGTAGTTTGAATAGACGCTAGGAAGGTTGATTGGTCGAGGGGAAAATAAGAGAAATCAGGATAGCCGAAGAGTCTGGCCATTGTTCAATGTGCGAAGGCCGCGACCTCTGGTCCATAATTTGGTTTGTAGAATCATACCATAAGTATAGGATACAGAATGTCTTCAGCTTTTGCATGGGTTTGGGTACTTGTGTCGTTAGTTATTCAGCCACATTGCTCTTCCATATGATTACTTGCTAGATTAATTATGCCTTGGTGCTCTCTTATGCATTCAGATAGGAGTAGAAGTCAGCAATTGCTTCTAAACAGATAAAAAAAATGGTGGTTCTGTAGAAGGGTACATATTGTGCAATTTGAAGGTAGAGTGTGTTATTTTTCTTTTCTTTTTCCATTTTCGCTGTAAATAATACGCATTTTGTGTTCAGGATTTTAGTATACAGGTAGCTCTCTGCGCAGCATGATAGACATTATTTGCCTTCAGTTGAAATTTAGCCTTCTTTTACATTGACTTATTACTCTGTAAATTCATTTAACCCCTTGAGACATTATTGTTTGTTTTGTCCTTGTGTCATCTGCTGTTACATTTTTAACTGGAAATCTACAGAAACTATAGAATGCAATCTTCATGCTTTGAAATTTGCTGTTATTGAAAAGGCACGTTTCTATGTTGTCTCTAATTTTGTTTGTGAATCATAGATATAATCAAACTGATATCACCAAGGTAGAAAGCAAGTACAATGGCTGACTGCGTTTGTTCTCTATTTCAATTTAGTGATCACTTGAATCCGTGCATGTTATTGTCAGTGGTTTGCACGTATCAACAACTATCTCATCCTAAGTCTAGTTTAACATAGGACGACATTGTTGTAAAGTGGTAATCAAGGTCGTATTCTACTCGGGTCCTGATACTCTAGCCTACTTCCCACCTTGTTGTTAATTAGGTAATCGTTTTTTGAGGTTTTGAGTGAAGGATATGAGGAAATACTAGTCTAGAGGTTGATCAAAACTAAAAGCAGGTACTTCGGGGAACTAATCCTCCCCCTAGCTTAAGGATACTATGCATGTATAGATGCTTAGGGTTATCGAATGTGGTGAGTGATCTCTTTTCCATGGGCCTTTGTCGTTATCCACACACCTCCAAATACGCCTCACCTAAACCCCATGTTTCAATCACCTCGATCTAGGCTATCGTATCTGGGGATTAAGCTTATGGCTCATTTCAATGGACACTATCCACCGTTCACATCGAGGTTTCATCCCATATTTCATCTAGGAATGCTACTTATAGCAGGGGTTCGGTCGCCTCGACCACTATAGGCCCCGATTCACTCATCTAACCTAAACTCACCAGATGGCGCATACCCGTCTAACTCTAGAACTCCGTACCTAGCGCGGTAGCATAAAGCAGGCTAATAGGGAAGATTGGGGCCAGTTGCCCAAGATTCATCATTTAGGAAAGAGTGACATTAAGAATCTAGTAGACAAACACATTCATTCATTCAAATCCTAAAATATCCATACATACATAATAAACCCTAAAACTAGGATTTGGGGATTAGAACCCCTATTAACTTACATGACTACTCCATAAAGGAGGGAAGAAGAAACATGATAGAAATAGAAGAAGATTTGAAGTTGGCAAGATCCTCCTTGCTACTAGATCCTCCTTCTTCTGCTTCTATTCTCCTTCATTCAGCTTCTCTCTCTTCTCTCCCTCTAGAACCAGAAATTTCACCCAAAATAAGCTCTCTTAGAATGGGGAAAGGGGTCTTCTATTTATAGGCATTCTGGACTAGAGGAAGTTCGCTGCCTGAGGCTGGGAGATTGCGGGCGGGATCTTCTGAGGATAGGCAGCGATCTCAAGATGATGTCGTAATGGCCTTCTAAAGGGGGAAGATAACGAGCTGATTTTGCGGTCGCGATCCTCGAGTCGTGGCCGTGATCTTCCTTGCTGGAAAAGGGAATGTTGGCCTTGATGCAACTGGGAAAACTTTCTGCTTCTCTAAGGCTCCTTCCACGCGAAGTTTGCGCCCTGGGCCTTCAAGATTGCGTTCGCGATCTTTGGCTTATGGGCCGCGATCTTTAGCGAGTCTTCATGACTGGAAATCTCGGCCTTGATCTTTGGCTTGTAGGCCACGATCTTTGATCCTTGCCCCTTTTATACACTTGTGACCTTGTTTTGTATCTAATTTGCACATATTGACTAATACACCCTATAATCACATCAAAATCAAATAGGAACAAAATAGGGATGCATTTGACAATGTTTAAACGCTTAAGCACATGAATAGGCACAAACATACCCTTAGATGGAGGGTAAATAACACTGGTTTTGGTTTTATCATAGCCCGTCCCCTACCCTAGGCCCACACCAGGCCCGTCTTCTGTCACCAAGCTCAGATCGCCCTCCTTCTTGTCAAAACCGCTCGGCTGCGCCTCCACTGTCGCCTCTAATGCTGGCTCATTCTCGTCCGCCTTCGCACCCACCGCCGATCCTGTCTTTTTTGGCGGTGGTTCCTTCCTCATCTGCAGCAACTCCATCATCATCCTCTGGAACACCTGGAAATCATTGCGGAGTCCCTTGATCTCTGCCCGCGAATCCTCCTCTGTCGCCCTCACCGAGGCGTCGATCTTCTGCAGGCTGCTATCCAAGATCAACTGCATATCCCAGACCCAACCAACCATTCCCTTGATCTCCATCAGATTCGTGGATTCGTCCACTACTCCATCCCGACGTTCCTCCATTGGTGGTTCGCCGCTCTGGAGCAGCGCCGCATGCACATCGCGGTTCCTGTCGGACGAGGAACAGAATATTCCCTTCTCTCCTACGCTGATCTCCTTATTCCGAATAGCCCTCTCCGCCTCCTTTTCATCCGTTGACTTCGACTTGGTGGTAACTGCCATCATTATGCTCCTAGCCCCAGTTGTGAGTTATGATAAACTCGTAATTAGAACCGGACTCTGATACCAAATGATAGAACCAAGATTCGGTTCTATCTAGGGATTAGGAGTATTAGGTATCAATGAGGGTTTGATCTCCATGGTTGATTAAGAAAGTGAATGAGGGAGAGGATTTTAGAAAGAAAGAGAGAAGGATAGGTGGCTGCGGCATTAACCTTGAGAGAGGGGGAAGAGTTCGACAATGAGAGGGAGGAAGGAAGGGACATTAGGGGTGATTGTTATCTATAATTTCTTGATGAGAATCCCCCACTAATTACATAATATATAACCTGACAAATAACCCTCTTATACCCCGCTAATACGAACTGCTAAAATACTCCCTAATTATTCCAAAAATTCCCCAAATAAATGATAAATAATTCAAAATAACAAAACAAGCAAATAATTATGTTTCTATCATTCTTCTTTCCACAGGCAAATGTCTTCGGGCCCTTCATGCCTTAGACTGTTAAACCCTAAAGATGCAATCTCTTCTCACGGTTGTGTGAGCGCGCCAGTACTCATATCCCCAACAAAAAATAATGCAAGCTTTTGGCTCCTTGAATAAAGGGTTTATTAATCATTTTGGGTTATGTACTTTGCTCGAGTTACCAAAGTACACCTTCAACTTTTCATATTTGATAAGCTTATACTTTATGTTTACCTAACATATCACGGAATGCGTTACCCTGGTTACTTTTTTTCCCAATAACCACCATGACTACCCCCTTTTTGGCCATATAGATTATTTGGATCCAATTTGAGAGCCCAACTTGCTGAACGGTGTTTTCGAAAAGAACTCACATGATCACGTCACACCATTATTGTGGCCTGAAATCATAGGTTTTTTTTTTCATTTTCTCACGCTTCCCCTTCTTTATCCTTTTTCCTTATCAGTGTCGCTCCCAAAAAGGGGAAGAACCATTTTCCATTTTGAAGAAACTTCTTCTTCGCCCCTTGCTCTCCCGACATCTTCTGTTGTCTTCCATCTCTCTTCGGCGCCACAGTCTCTCTCTCTGGCCGCCACAGTCATTCTATCCGGCCGTCGACTGGTTGTTTCTAGGTTAGTGGTTTGAAGAGGGTACTTGCGCCTCCGTCTTGTTTCCATTTCCTCTCACTCTGACGGAACACGACAACCGACAACGTTGATTTTAGCTCCTCAAGTGTTCCCGTTTTGTTTCCCACCCAGTCGAAGTTGATTATAGCTTGCTTCTGCAGGTAATCTGGAAAGTTAGTGTTTGCATTGGTAGAGGATTTCCTTTGGCAGCTACATTGTATTTTGTTTTGGTACTGTTTTCATTATGCTTTGGTAGTGTTTGCATTATACTTCGGTAGTTACCTGCATTTTCTTTAGTAGTGTGTGCATTATCTTTGGTAGTTACCTGCATTTGCGTTGGTTAGGAGCATTATGATTTGGTAGTTATCTGCATTTGGTTTGGTAGTGTTTGCATTATGCATTCGTAGTTACCTGCATTTGCTTTGGTAGTGTTTGTATTGGGCCATGTAACTTTAATTATACTCGCTTTCGACATTCATGCAGGTGACACCGGTAAGATGTTCTTTGTCGATCGATCGATCAATAGAGAGAGAGGGAGGGGGGGGAGGTGGTAAGGAGGGTGAGTGGAGGCAGTGGGTGGGGAGGGGCAGATAGGTGGGAAGGTGAGGGGAGGCGGCACGAGCATGACGGCCGGCGGGAGGAGAGGGCATGGAGGGGATTTGGGAGGAGGGTGATAGGAGACAGAGGGCGGCCGATGAGAGGGAGGGGACAGGGAACCTCCTTATAATTAGTTTCCATAATTATAGCTTTTTAATTTTCTGCGTAATTAAAATGGTAGTCTGAATTATAATGATAGCAAAATAGGCTCAAGTTAGGGTGCATAACCATGGGTTATGCACCCATCAATAACCAAATCTGAACCCTTCATTTAGAAAATCCAGATCTAAGGATGGAGGATTAAAGGCTATTTTTATTTTCACTAGCTTTCTTAATTGACTCATATCTTTTTCGTTTTAACTCGGATTTTAATTTTTTTTTATTTGCACAGATGGAACAATTTTCAAAATTTTTTGAGGAAAAAAAAAATTCTGGCCTCTTGGCACCAACTGCATACCATATGGTATCTTCTTCGTTTTTAATTTGTTTTTGAAAACGTTTGCACAGCAGGGACGAGTTCATCATGATCTATTGGATCTACAAATTTCTGGGTGAACAAATTACAAGACCAAAAAATATCACACAATACCATACAATACCACCTTGGTACGGGGTGGTATCTTATGGTATACAATGTTAAAAGTCGTAAATGACAATTAATATACTTCTATTATCATGTATTCAACCATCCTACAGTTTTGATTTGTGTCATACCACCATGGTACGCTTTTCAAAGTATAGGTATGCTCTTATTTCAATACCAGTCAATACCATATGGTATAGAATGGTAAAAAATGGCTCAATTTTTTTTTTGTTCGGAAAATATATCAACTGTGCAAAAAAAATTAAATTTCGACTTAAAACAAGTGAGAAATCATCCGTCAAAGATTAAGGAGGTGAAAATTAAAGGTTTTCCAGGAGAGAGAGGATGCTGATGTCATGCTGATGTGGGCGGGTTACTCATAGTTACTCATAGTTACTCACCATAAGGTTACTGACCTGATCCGTTCCGAGCAAAATACAC